ACCATTTCAGACAAACGGCTGTCCAGTCTCTTCTTAAGAACTTCCAGTGTTGGAGCATTCACCACTTCTGGAGGCAGGTTGTTCCATTGGTTAATTGTTCTAACTGTCAGGAAGTTTCTCCTTAGTTCTAAGTTGCTTCTCTCCTTGATCAGTTTCCACCCATTGCTTCTTGTCCTGCCTTCAGGCACCTTGGAGAATAGCTTGACTCCCTCTTCTGTAGTAGTAGTAGTAGTAGTAGTAGTAGTAGTAGTAGTAGTAGTAGTAGTAGTAGTAGTAGTAGTAGTAGTAGTAGTAATAATAATAATAATAATAATAATAATAATAATAATAATAATAATAATAATAATAATAATAAAGGTGGAAGGGACCTACAAGGTCCCTTCAAACTCCGTTATTCTGTTCTGTTCTGTTCCAGTTCTATTCTAGTCTATTCTATTCTAGTCTAGTCTAGTCTAGTCTAGTCTAGTCTAGTCTAGTCTAGTCTAGTCTAGTCTAGTCTAGTCTAGTCAGGGATTGGGAAGAGAAGCAAGTTAAACGTTTAAGTGTGGCAATAATAAGTGTGTGATTGGGTAAAGGACATCAAGATCTAGTATGGTCTGTGAGGCAATTAGTTCATAAATACAATAATGACACCCCCCCCCATCTCCCAAGATCTTAATTTGTCAGTTTAGTGAGGGGGTGCAAGTTTCTGGAGGGGAAAAGGTGAGAGGGAGAGAAAGAGAAACCCTCATCTCTCTTAGATGTCATATTTCAGAATCACAATCACAATCAAAATTGAGCTGGAAGGGACCTTGGAGGTCTTCTAGTCCAGCCCCCTGCTCAAGCAGGAGCTCCTATACCATTTCAGACAAGTGACTGTCCAGTCTCTACTTAACAACCTCCAGTGATGAAGCACCCACAATGTCTGAAGGCAGGTTGCTTCTCTCTTTGATTAGTGTTATGGACATGTCTTGACAGGAAAGATCACAACTATTACAGAATTGTGCCTCCTGGAGTGTATCTGTGATACCAGTACCCCTTGGTATTTGTTGCCCCAAAGAACTTCGATGTCCCAAGAGGAGAAGGGAGGTCTCACTGTAATTACCACCATCTTCTGCTCCTTCTCCAGTGACTGTTTTTGATGTAAATGTCAGATTGAAGCAAGATGGAAGGAATCTTGCATCAGAAAAGGATAAATGCAACAGTCAGGCTCTGTGTAGCAAAGCTGTTTTTGGGGAGAGGCAGAGGCTGTGGCCTTGAACGTATCTTTCTCTCCTTTCCATGTGGAGCTCAGTTTCTCTGCCTGAATTAGGAAAGTCATTGGAATTTCCCTATTGTGACAGTGCTTTGAATTCTTTTATCTCTTGTTGTCCTCGTTTAGAAATGGGAAAGAGATTGATTCAGCCCCACGAATGATGGATCTCCCGTTTCTACTGCTGCTGCTGCTGCTGCTGCTGCTGATGTCCCAGCCAGTTTCTGGGAAACTTAAAATGAAGTGCCCGCTGAGTTTGGAGCACCAGGATGGAAAACGACCATGGAGCTATTACAGGCCAGGAGACCATCTCATTAATGTAGTCCTCTCTGCAACCAAAATCTCACATATAATGTTGCCTTTCAACATGGTTCCTTATAGTCAGACACACTTGTAAGTTTTTCAGTGTGATGGAGTTGCATCCCCTCCATTTGAATTTGTAGCACTCATTTTCCTTTCTTCTTCTTTACTTTCTTTTACATTGCATGATTTGTCAACTTTCTTGAACTGTTTTGATTTCCACGGCTTCCCTCTTTTGCTTTATTTCGAGGAAGAAACTCAAATCCAAAGATGGGGCAGGAAAAAACATGAAAGAAGTCCAGATTACATACCTTTCCCTGTCCAATCCTAAATTCGTCATTTGAATACTCATTTTTGTCTAAAACAGTGATTGCAGTTGTCTCTGTCTAGTCCATTTCAATATTTTTACAAGAGCTCACTTATATTCAATTCCTGATCATTATAAGAATCAGGGATAACTTGTTTTTAGAATTGCTATTGTGGGTCAGTTACGAAACATCTTCCTTTTATGATGGTTCTCCTTTAATGATTGAATGCTTTTGAATCCTGGTTCCTGGGAAGATGAAAATTAGTGCTGCTATAAATAATGGTGTATTTATTATTCTTAACTTCCATCTCATCTTCTCAACAGTTATTAAAATGAAATGGTGATGGGTGAATATGATTTGTCTCTTGTTTAGGATCAGTATTGGCTTAACACTCAGAGGTCTTTTGGAAACAAAGTTTTAAATTGAAAAAGTATTTTGTTATTGCTGTTAATAATGATGATAATAAGATGAACCTATTTTTACAATAGTTTACCTTTGGAGCAGTTAAGAATATTACGCTACATTTTTGCTATTCAAGTTGTCAACAAGAATCCCCAGCTCCTGCACAATCTCACACTTGGCTACAACATTCATGACAACTATTTGAACACCCTTGGGACTTCAGATGCCTTGCTGGACATGCTCTCTACTGGAAAAGCCAATGTTCACAACTACAGCTGTGGAAAAAAGGACAACATTTTGGCTCTCATTGATGGAGCTGCCAGTGACATCTCCATTCAGATGTCGACATTAGTAGGTACCTATAAAGTCCCACAGGTTTGTGTCTGTGTGTCTGTGTTTCTTTATATAGTAAAGTCAGTAGGATAGTGTTGGGTGAGTGATAGATCCAGTTATATCTTCCCTTTGGAATTCATGAACTACTTTTGTTTATGGGCATTTTAGGTGTCATGGCTAGGGATTGGGTGCCACAATGTGGAGGGTGCAAGGGCCAAAGCAGCCCTGTCCTCTCATGACAAATGCTTTGGTGAAGATGAGGAGAGATTTGTGTCTATTTGAAAGGTCTTTTGTACAAAAGAAAGGTGCAACAGTGATCGGAAGCTCATCCTTTGTACATAATATGAGCCAAAATAATGATATTTTCAATGGTGAACAAATCCCAGATTTGTGTAAAGAATCCCAATGGATTATACTACCTACAACTGATAAAACACATAGGTCTTATGAACTCGTAAGGACTGCTATCATTAACTAACCAGTTTATTTTACAAATCACAAACATATTATATCACTTATTTTTACTCTAATATTTTCATGATGAAATTTATCATAAAAATCTTGAAGAGCAATAAACCACTCAGAGAGAAAAGTGTTCCAAATAGTGGGTCCCTTACAAAATATGTCAGTCAAATTAAGCCATGGTTTTCTGCCTTTGTAGATCTTAGTGCAGCATTTTAAACAGAAAAATAATATGGGAGAAATTCACTGCTCTTAAGAAGCAACCCAGATTGTTTTTTGAGGGTATAGCTTAGTCTCAATCGAGCCATGAGAAGTAAGATTGATAGTTACCAAGGGGCAACACCAAGGTGCATACTTGAGTCATTGTCAATCAATCAATCAATCAAAATAGAGCTGGAAGGGACCTTGAAGATCTTCTAATCCAACACCCTGCTCATGCAGGAGACCCTATACCATTTCAGATTTAGATGGCTGTTCGGTCTTTTCTTAAATACCTCCAGTGATGAAGAACCTACAACATCTGAAGGCAAGCTAACCCTAACTCTTAGGAAGTTTTTGCTTCATTCCAGGTTCCTTCTCTCCTTGATTAGTTTCCATCCATTGTTTCTTCTCTTGCCTTCTGGTGCTTTGGAAAATAAGTTGACCTACTCCTCTTTGTGGCAGGCCCTCAAATACTGGAATGCTGCTGTCATGTCCCGCCTAGACCTTATTTTCTCTACACTAGCCATATCCAATTCCTGCAACTGTTCTTCGTATGTTTTTGTCTCAAGGCCCTTATTCATCTTAGTTGCTCTTCTTTGCATTTTTTGCAAAGTCTCTACATTTTTTGTAATATGGTGACACAAACTGGATGTAGCATTCCAGGTGTGGTCTTAAGGCTTTATAAAGAGGTACTAATACTGTGTTTGAGGGGCTGCCACAAAGAAGAGGGAGTCAAGCTATTCTCCAAAGCACCTGAAGGCAAGACAAGAAGCAATGGATGGAAACTAATCAAGGAGGGAAGCAACCTAGAACTAAGGAGAAATTTCCTGATAGTTAGAA